CTGCCCCCAAAACTCTGGAGCTGTGCCGTGTTTGGAGGTTCCGGCTCAGGCGGCCACATGGCGAGTCTGAGTGGCCGGGAGAGGACATGTCTGAGGGCCAGGAGACCAGGAGGCTTAATAGCCCCAGGGAGATGGGGTGGAAAGACCGAGAGTGCCAGGCTGGTGGGACCCCAGGAGCCAGGCTGGTGAGTGTGGGTATGAGGAACCCAGCACAGGGGCAGCTGTGGACACGGCCCCCAAGCCCCCCGAGCTGCTGCATCAGACTGGCTGTGTGTGGCGGCGCCTCTGTGTGCGGGGGTGCTGCTGTGTGTCCGAGCCTGTGGGCTTGTGTCTGAGTCTGGGATCAGGCGTGGACCGGGTGTGCGTGCATGAGTGTGGTCATCTGGGGAGCTGGCTAAGGAGTATCAGTTCATGACAGTTAAATGAACTAGACTGTGTGTGGCCAGCCCTGAAGTGTGTGGAAGGCTGCATGTGTCTGTGGTTGTGTATTCGTGTAAGACTGTTTGGTGGTATACGTGTGCATCCCTTGTGTAAACTGATGCTCAGCAATGTGTGGGGCTGCGTCTCTGATGTCGTGTGAGCATCAGCCTGGGGATGGGATCACTGTGTGTGTCACAGGTGCCGGTGTGTTTCCGCCCCTGTGTTTCCTCTGGGGATGAGCCAGGTCTCAAACGAGCTGGGTGGTTGTGGAGATGACAGTGTGTGGCCTTGACAGAAGTAGAGACAAGGGTGTGTGTGTTTGTGTGTGTGTACACACACAAGGACACCCCTGCCTGTGGTCAGGCCAGACCGTTTGGTGGATGTGGGTGGGGGTAGAAGGGGTGACCTTGGGTTGGGAGTGGGGGCAAGGCCAGGCAGGAGAGCCCCTACCACCTTCCTGACCCCTTCCTCCCCGGGATAGCCACGGGGGCCTCCTTGGTACCTGTGATGGGAGGTCCTGGGGCCTAGGTTTGTGTCCCCATGGATGTGGGACAGATGTGCAGGGAGTGTGTGCTAACATAGTGTATGAGAGCAGGTGGCCGGCTGTGTGCTCCCTGGTTGGACAGTGTGTGTGTACATGTGGTATGTGTGAAGGGTGCCTAGTCGTGTGTGTCCAAAGTGAGTGTGTGTCATGCACAAGGGTCCACTGTGTCTGCTGTGTGCACAGGTGTGTCCTACGTGGATATGTGGTATATGGAGGCGTGTGTACCAGGCTGGGTGCAGATGGAGCACCAAGGGGTGTGTGTGTGTGTATCTGTGTGTCCGAGTGTGATGTGTGTGCCTGTCAGTGTGTGTGTGTGTGCATGAGTGCGGGGGCTGCGGGAGAAGGGTCTTGGGCCGCGTCTCTCTCCTCTTTAGACAGAGCCCTGGAGAAGATATGAAATTTAAAAAAAAAATCAATTTTCATTCCACTTGTGCAGATTGTGTTAAGGGGAGGTGGGGGGGGCTGGGTGAGGGATGAAGGGGCTGGGGTGGGGGGTGCAAGGCCTGAGGCGGCTCCCGAGGCAGCCAGAGCAGCTTAGAGAAATCAAAACAACTGGTTAAACCCCAGCCCAGGGGGCCGGGGTGGTGGGGGGGCAGCAACGAGGAGACAGAGGCAAAGAGAGATGGAGAGAGACAGAGATGCCTCGAGACAGAGACAAGAAACAGAGACACTAAGAGATGGAGATATTTGGAGATAGAGGCCGACAGACAGCTGGGGCAACAAAGACAGAGGGAGAGACCCACTGCATAAGCAGGCCTGGTTCAGTGCCGGCCGCCTCACACATGTCCAGTCTTGGGGTGTCCACAGATGAGTGGACGGACAGACAGCTGGACAGGTGGTGGCAGGAGCACTGGGACCCCAGAGTGGGGTTATCTCTGAATGCCCACTCCAGCCCACGCAGCCTCATCCAGTTGGGCTGTGGGTCTGAGTGTGGCGCTGTGTGTATGTGTGCACCGTGTGTGGTGCTGGCCTGGCGATGGCTGGCTGTGTTGGCGTCGTGCGTGCACTTCTGTCTCCTTGCATGATGGAGAGTGTGCACACACGGTCTCTGGTGCTTGTCTGTGTGACTGTGCTTTCATGTCCCTTGTGTGTGACTGGCTTGGCTGTGCTGCTGGGTGTGCCTGGGTGTGTGTGTGTGTGTGTGCGCGCGCTTCTATGCTGGCACTGTGTCAGTGTGCGCTTTGCAGCTTTGTGAGCTTGTATTCATGAGCCTTGGTGTGTGACGGTGTGTCTATGTAGTGTGTATCTGTCTCTAAGTTATGGTTGTGTGTCTCTGCTTCTGTAGGGGACTGAATTGGTGTGTGTGTTGCATATATCTGTGTGTGGTTGTGTGTCTCTCTGTGTGTCGATGTCCGTGACCGTGACAGTATATGTGTGTGTGTTTTGACATGCGTGTCTCTGTGGTGTGTAAGCTGGAGGTGCGTGTGCCTGGGTTGACGTGTGGCAGGGGCTGCGTGATGGTGTTGGTTGTGGCCGTCTTGGTGTGCGTGAGTGGGTTAACATGTGCGTCACCCGTTGTTGTGATGTGTGTTGTGTGTGCTGGTGTGGCGTGTGTCATTTTGTCGAGCTGTGTCTGGGTCGTGTCGTGTGGCACTGTGGTGTGTGTGTGTCTGGGTTGCCGTGTGGGTCTGTGTAGCTCCTTGGCAGGGAAGGGAGGGAGGCTGCCTCTGCCGGCCCAGCCTGTCTCCGCACTGCTGCGCACACACGCACACACACACACTCGATGCCTTGGCTGCGGGCGGTGGAGATGGGGGGGGTGGGGGG